AAATAGAAATAGGTAGTATTAAGAGTCAGACATCATTCCCCTCCTGTCAACCATAACTCTCTATATCCAGCTTGTGTTTGTGTCTGTTTTCTAAATCTGTGTGTGTGTGTGTGTGTGTGTGTGTGTGTGTGTGTGTGTGTTTGTTCAGGGTTGTTACCACCGGCCCCCGGCAGCGGCATGGTGATGCTGCAAATGACAGCGGGCCCCTGCCAGCAGCCCCGGGCCCCCTCCCCCTGCCAGCGGAAACAGCCCAGCTATAAACACCCCGGGCCCGAGAACCAGCGCAGCCGCAGGCCCGCTGAGCTCCCTCCGCCTCCGGACAACACCCAGGTACAAACGCTGCCCGAGTGCGTCGACGAGGAGAAGGCGGTCGCACGCAAACGGTGCTACCTTTCACACAATGGGTTAAAAGTAGTAGTGTGCGTTGTGTAAAAACATTGATATAGCGATTTCCAAATAATGTTAAAACAAATTCTAAATGTGCCCAGGTAGTGTTTGCCACAGAAGATAGCACATCACATGTCAGGAAGTTAAGACGAGGAAGCAGATTTTTAAAGCCGGTTCAGTTTGGTTTGTCCCCCCTTGAGCCGGAGCAGCCTCCCTGCAGCCAGGCAGGTTAAGTGTCGTGGCAAATAGGCTCCGCAAATGAAGTCAACGCTGCCGTAACCTGGAAATGAGGAGAAAATAGTCCTCAGCATTAGGGTGTAATGGTACATTAGGGGGACTAATGTGGAGGGAATGGTACATTAATGCAACAACTTGAACGACAAAATGACTTTGTGAAAGCAAAGATGCAGCCGAGGTTTGCTTCTTTTTTTTTTTTTTTTTGAATGAAAGTGTTTGTGTTCCTTCCCCACCCGTTTCCTCTCGCCGCCCCCGTCTGGTGTGTTGTGTGTAGAGCAGCTTGCCCTCGTCCCCGGCGCTCACTCCTTCGCCAGGCCAGCCGCACACCGTCAAGGGCCTCCCATCAGGCATCTCGCCCATCCCTGTCATGGCCCACCACCCGCAGCTCCCTACAGCCTTCTGCCACGGTGGACAAGGTCAGAGGTCACGATGGGCCACGTGGAGTTTACTCAAAGAGAGCAAAGGATGTGCTTACCAACATGGCAGCCTAATTAAAACTTGTGAAATTATATTTGTGCCTTTTTAATCCTGAGAATCAGAGAGACTGTTTGAGAGCAAGTTAATTACACTCTGTAGAGAAGTTCTCACACCAACATGATTTCACTTGAGCAAACAAAAACCAGTGAATGTGGCCTGCACTCTCACTAAAGCTGACGCAGCGTTACATTGCGATGCAATTATTGTCAACTGGGAAATTGGAGTCGGTCGTGTCTGATTGGATGTTTTGCCTCCAATTAGGTTGCTAGTAAGGATTGTCTGTTTCTAGGGAAGAAGGGAAGCACTGGGAGAGTGGCAAGCATGGTGCACCATAGCCACATGCTAGCAGTTACTGTCTAGTCTGTACTTCATTAGCTTGCTTGCTAGCCATCTTCCTAGGTAGGAAGCTAACTTGTGCCAGTTAAGAAGAAGCTAAATAAGATTAGCTAACTTAGTTGATTTTGTGATAATTGTAGTTGAACTTGAGTGTGTCGAGTTTAATATTATGTAGCTAGCTGTATTGCTAATTGGTGTTAGCCACCTTATAGCATGCTTTTATAATGAGTTTTTAGCAAACTCTACAAGTGTCACATGATTTATTTAAATTTACAGGCACAGTTTAAGTTTTTTACAGTAGCTGATGAACGACTAATGATGATATTGTCTCAGCTGTTTAGTGTGTAAACTACTTCAGCTTGTCTGTGATGCCCTTCTTCCCTAGTAACTGATTATCCTATCAGAAACCAGCCAATCAGAGATTACCTGCAGAGGAGCTTTTTGTTTGCTCAAATTGAATATTTTTTTGTAACCTTTAATTCGAAATATAATTCATGTGCCAACAATAACTCAATATAAACTTAGAGTAGACGTTCAGATTTTAGTTTCCACTGTTTGATAACTTTGTGTTTCTGCTGTGATCACGCAGGTGAAGCGCACTACTCTCTTCTGGGCCAACCTCTGCATTACAAACCCTCCATCAGACCTCCGCTGATCCACACTGCCCACATGGTGACCAAACACCAGGTTAGACACACACACACACACACACACATACACCAGATCTCTTTTATCACCAATAAATGTTATTTTATAATCTCTAAGTCTTTTATCAAACTGAAGTTAGTTTATGACATTTCCGGTCAGCAAACATCCCTCCCCCGCCTTCCACAAATGACCCAACTGTTCCTCTGTCTCCTCAGGGTCCACTCGGGGTTTGGCGTGGCGGTCATGGGAGGAAGGCCAGCAGAAAATCTTTGTCTTCAGATCTCAGTGTAGGTGAAGCAGGTAATAGGAAGTCCAGAGGGAGGCTTGAGTTTAGTGAACCTTGAGTTAACAGCAGTCATTTTTTTACTTTATCGGACATTTTGACCGTGATTTCACCTCCTCTCTTGCAGAACGAAGCACCAGAGGTTAATCTGAGCGAAGTGTTTTCTACTTGGTTGTGTGTAGAAATTCAGGCAAGCACTTTCTGAGAGCTGTGCAGTGCAGGGTGAAACATCAAGGTTTAGATGTCAATCAGAAGAGGAAATTCATGTTAAGATGAATCACGTGATAAATCCAGCCGCGGTGTAGTCTATTTAGCAGATTAACTGAAATAACAGCACGTTGTTGTTGTTGTTGTTGTGTCTCAATATGCTTGCTGCGCTCCACAGCTGTGGAAAAAAGCGTCTTGTTTGTAAATGTAAGCAGAATAATTTACAGACAGGGCAGAATCCACACCTGGCAGTGGAACCTGCAGCCCTGGCGGTATTTGTGCCGAGAGAAATGTGCTGATTATTTCAAATATTGCGTCGTATTTTTTGCACTCGCCAAGCTATTTTTCTGCATTGTTCAGGTGCTCTTGTCAACAATCAACAAGGAGGGGGCTTATACGCAGCCTGATGTGATGGTGGAAAGTTTAACATGAGGTCGCTGCTTCTTTTTTAGAGAATAATTATGATAATCGTGGATTTTTTTGGAAAATTTAAATAGTTAAATTGTAAATTTAGCTTGAGGTTTTACTGTCGCTCCACCTTAAAGCTTTAAAGCTGAGAGCAGCAGTTCATTGAAGCCTCCCGATGGTGCAGGTCTGATTTTTCTCTTCACCCATGACAGTTGTTTTATTTACTGTCTCTGCTGCTCACAGTGCTGTCTGTGTGTGTGTGCCTGCAGTGAGCAGTCAGATCCTGGAAGTGACAGATCCTCCGGAGGGGATCAGCTGTACAGACTCCCACCACCTCCTGGCAGAGCTCTGCAAAGGGGGCGAATTGATCCTGCGGCTGTCGGACCATCAGCCCCGGCTGCGCAACGCGACCAGAGACGCTCCCGGCAGAGACCTGGCCTCATCATACTCTATCTTTGCCATGCTCCCTTCCAGATTCGCTGCCCCGAGCACCGCGCTCCACCACAGCGGCCCCCAGGCCACCTTTAAACTCCGAACTAGTACCAGACACAAAGGGGGGCTGCGTGACTCGGACAAAGCCGGCTCATAGCTGCTAAGATCTCGGTGCATCTAAGGAGCGCCACATGAACGCACATCCAACCACCTGCCTCTGCTGCCTCAGTCTGGACTCTCTGCCAGACTCTGTCCAAATCAAAAACAAATGTTTTGAAGAATGAATGTTCACATTTCTTTTGTTTCAGTTTCTTCTCTCTTTTCTCTGGCCAACAGGTCTGCTCAGGGTGGAAACTGAGCACCACCTACCACTTTAGTTTTGTTTGTAAAATGTGTCTGTGGCTGCTGAGCTCAACTCGAGGGCCCCTCTATTCTAAAACAACCCAGTTTGCTGTTAGAAAGTGAAAGTGTTGAGAGAGCTTTGGGATTTATTTGCCAGCTAAGATGTTAGTGTCTCCACTGTGGCTCTTTTAATAGCAGATATACGAGTGTGACAGCAAAACTTACACAATCTACACGCCTCTGGTTCAAGAATGTTTTTGTGCCCACTTTTGAGAATTAGATATTGCATTTAAATTTAGCATTCATATCAAAGTGTTTTACTTTTTGTTTTATCTAATTAACTTTGATCAATAATTCCCCCAGCTGTGTCCCAGTTTAATCTCAGCCACTGACCCATGAAAGTGAGCAGCATTTCTCTCACCTTGGGTACACAAGAATGGGTTTCTCCTCTCGTATAACACACCTACAATAACACGCAGCAGCACTTGTACCATGTGAGCCCATACAATAATAAACACTGAATAATAGATATACTACCTGAATTATTTAAAGTCACTTTTATACACAGTGAATGTTGCGTTTGCACTGAAGTGATGATCCAAGATGGAGATTTGATAGGAATCAAGACGGCCTGGATTTTGTTTTAACCCCTCATACCTGTTTGTTGCACTCAGCCAGGCCACTTTCTTTTATATTTAATTAAAATGTTTATATGCACAAGAAAAATGCAATCGAGTTTGTCGCTCTACTTGGCTTCATTCTTTTGGATTTCTGTTTGTGTGAATCATGAGAGGTGTTCTGTGTCTGGTGTGGATTTCTTTTTCTTTTTCTTTATTTTATTTTTTTTTCTTTGTTTGACTCTAATAAATGTTTTCACCACACGTGTTGACATAACTGTTTCCAAGCTAAAAGGCAAGTAATAACCCACAGTCAGCAAATTGAGAGTCTGCTGAAATGTTTCCTTGGAGCAAGATGTTCCTTTTAGTGTATGTGGTAAAAAAAAATAATAAAAAAGCAACAGATGAGGCAACTTCTTGGAAAATGTTGCCATGAAGTTTGTATCTCTGCCTTCTGGGCATTGCAGAGATATTTGCTCTGCTTAGTAGCCTCATTTCCAGCTGCATAAATTAGCCATTTTGAATAAACCCTCTGCTCGGTGAGTGCAGAGAAACAGAGACACCTAGTGGACAAACGCTGTTACTGCAGCATCAGTACGAGCTCCTGGGAGAGTGAAAGTGAAACTCCAAACATTAGTGTTTGGGGAAACTGTGTGTAGTAGCAACAGCGTCGTGTCTAACGTGGTTTGGAAAAAACGCGGGCTAGTTGTGATGGTTACACGGCTTCATGTCTGCAACCGTTATGGAGACCGAGTCCCGGGACGAGAGCAAGACCGTGGTTGTGTCCGGTGTCCCCGGTGTGTTAACCGTGAGCAGGATGGTTGACAAGCTGACTATTCACTTCCAGAGCCGCCGGAGGAGTCACGGAGGAGACGTCGAGGTGGTCACATACCCCACCAACATGGAGGGAGTCGCCTACGTCACTTTTGACAAAGCTTCAGGTAACAACAGGTCGTAGCTAAACACATATTTCAAGCTAGCAATGCTACGTGTTTTGAGCTGCCCCTGCCTTGAGGAGCACGAGCTACAGCTAACGGTTAACGGTTTAATAACGGTTAATTATTCAAACGCCGAATTCCATTTGAAAAGTCCAGTTTTTAAGTCCAGTCCCATAACAGTAGCCTTTAACGTGCACATTCAAGTCACTCTGCTAATATTTTCAGAAACCTTAAAGATCTTAAAACCATCTGGATTTTCAACCTGTTTTTCAAGTTGAGCCTCTTAATCCAAACAAAGATGGTGGCAGTAAGTTACACTATTCTCGTCCAGTTTGTACAGCGTCAACTAAACTTTTAAACACCCCCCTTCAGACATATTAAAGCCTATAAAAATACTCTGAGTAATAAAATGTGTCTGATATGGTTTTTCCTCAAAAAAGGTTAAAATATTTAGTTAAAATATATAAGAAAATGCATCTACTCCTCCCTCATTAACAATATCCACTCTAAAAATAAATATGCAAAAGCAGTTGATCTCAAAAGTGTAACTACACAATACAAGATGTCACCTATTTCAATGTATGGCCACCAGAGGTCTTCAAGTACACATATCCCACTTGTGTAAGTTGTGTACTTCATATCATATCACGATCAGATATCACAGAATTAATGATGTCACAAAAATTTGCAGGTGTGTCAAAGTGTTAAACTGGGATTTAAGGTGAGTACAGAAAAACCTGAATGTGAAAATTAGCCGCACAGTGTTGATCAAACATTCAAGTGAAATGACAATATGCAAAACACATTTTTGAGAGGTGGGTTTTGGTATATATACGTATATATATATACATACATTTTATATATTTTATATCTCATCCAAAATAACTACTATAATTTTTTTCTTGCACTGTACAAAAACAGCAAGGATGTAATTTCTGGAAATAGAGTCATAATATGGGAAACTGTAAAATCAGATGCTTATTATTTCTGTGCCTCAGTCGTAATGGTAATACATGAGAGGCACAAACTGAGGCTGCTCTGTAAGTGAATGGAAATGAAAGACTTTAAACCTCCTGCACTGAACATAATCTATCTGCAGTCATATCTCCTGATTTATGCCATAATTGGTTCCCAGGGGAATGAATTGTGGTTACCATAGGAACCCCTCATACAGTACGGTGTGTACAGAGGTGAAATATAAAAAAAGACATTTATTTATGTGCTGATGCCAAGCTGGTGAATGGTTTAATTTGTCCTATTATCATAGAGTTAGACTTTGTGTGACAAGGAATAACAGATTTGCTTTATGTGCTCATGAAGCATCGTTATAATGTTGACATGGGAACAGACCAGTACAGTACAAACTCTTGGCAGATGCAGAGAACGTGGTTCGAAAGGAGCAACACATCATGACGGACAATGAGTTTTCTGAAGACTACCTTCTCACTGTGTTCCCCTTAAGCGGAGATGTAAGTACGTTGGGAGGAAAAGCACTAAAATCATCTCTTTATAGCTAAATTTGAATAATTAAGCAATTCATACTGACTCAGATGTGCTTTTGTGCTGCAGGTGTTTTTGTATGTCTCCAGCGCTAAGGTGGATCTCTCCGTATTTGGCAGCGATCAAGCGTCACTGATTCGGAGTCTGCGTTCAGCTCACAGGTCGCTACGTTTCCAGCCTTTGCCCCACCGAAGGAAAGCCACCATTGAGGGGCCTTTCGCTGCCATCGAGGCCCTGAGAGAGGACCTCATCCGCAGGGCCAGTCAGCTTAACGCCACAGTCTCAGCCCCAACTGCCACTGCCGGGCTAAGAGAATCTCCTCTTAATCCGAGGGTAATATCTCATCACAAGTTTGTCAGCTCTGTAAGCTGCAGCGGTTCTAAAGCTAAGCGGGGACCAGCGGACTCGAACAGCTTATCAACACCGCTGCAGAGCACAGGTGAGGCAACTCAAGTCCAAAGCCTGCGCTCAAACACAGAAACTCAAAACACTTCCTCGAGGCAGAAAGTTTCCTCGACTGTACGGAGCTTTGCTGTCACAGACAGTGTTGAAGGGGAAAGGCTGAGAGCTCGTTCCATGCTTAAAAGCCCCACAGAATATAGAACCAAGACAAGTCCCAGACAAGTGTTAGGGGAGGAGATCAATGCAGGGATTAGATCTTCCTTATCAGGCCTGGACTTGTTCCCTGCAGAGGAAATATCAGCAAATCATCCAGGAGTAGACGATATTTCACAAAAACACACCAGACCAAACAGGATTTCAGCAACCGAGACCAGAGAGGAGAATCATCTGAGCTCCCGCCACAACAACAGAAGGGACTATCTGAAAGACTCAGATCAGAGCAGCTCAGCAGTCACCACTGATCGACTCCAGACCAGACTTAAAAATGTCTTGTCGTCCTCTGAGAGCAGCACCGAGGATTCAGAAGTGCTGTCTGCAATCTGTCCAAAGGATCCGGAGGATACGAGCATCTGGGTCGACTCACACACATACAGATACATTGAACAATTTGACAGGAAGGAGTTAGACAGATGCTTGAGAGGTCTCAAGGTGTGTGGTGTGTGCACTGAGGGAACCGACCTCATGCGAATAGTGTTGACTGAGAAGCAGACCTCCGAGGCGACCTCAACGACCCAGCAGGCCGTGAAAGACGTCGAGGCTTTGGTGGAGGGTTGGATGTCGATCTTAAGAGTTCATCAGATCCCGTATGACGAGGAGAAGCATCCTCGGAAACAGAAACTCCTTCAGATGTGTAATGATGTGAATGCCCTGTTCGATCTTCCTGTTCTTTATATGATCGAGGACTCTTGCATAAAAGTGGTCGGTCCCTCAGAATCTAGTTACATTTTCTATAAGAGAGTGGAGCATAGACTCAACTCAAAGACATACTTGTAAATCACTCTGAATCTTAATAGCTGGAGCTAAAACAAATTAATGTACTTCATTCAGTGGCCACAGGGTGGCGCAGTCGAGCTGCGCGTTGATTCCTGTACGGTTTGTGTATGAAATCAACATCTGTCTTATTTAGTTCTTATGTCACAGCCACAGTTGTGATTCCTGTGGTGCACTGGTAGATAATTAGAGTAATATAAATTAATAAATCTGTGTCTATTACATATCTGCTTCAGAATACGCATGTGAAGTACTCTTATTAAATTAAATTAAAAAACATAAAACATCTTCCAGTGCTTTTGCTTTCTGTCTTTGTTTCTATGGTGAACCTTCCCTCTTATTCATGCATGGATTAATAATTAGGCCTTTAAAAACACCAAACAATGTTCCCACAGCGGTAGGGGTAAGTCTTAATTAACCTCCTCACATCTTAATTACAAAAAATAAGCTTCTAATTAAAAGCAAAAATGACAGATGCCAACCTGTCGCACATAATCACATCTTTTTCTTTCTGTGTGTAACTCATTTCAATAAAGAATTAAATCTGAAGATAGAAAAAACTATATATATACCACATCCAGACATATTTTAAGACATTTGAGTAATATTTTTTTTCCACAAAAGACTTTAATTACTTTGATAAAGATTCTTAAAATGACATCCGCCTCTTCTCTATCACCAAAACGTTTTCAGATAGGTTGTATATTGAACCACAAGTGGCACCTGAACTAGTTGTGATGTCACAAAATCCTCCTCATATTTCCACGTGTGCAACTGAAATCTAAGGTGTTTGAATAAAACAGCTACAAATATTTGTTTTCAGGCTTTTATGAATTAGTTTGTGCAGCGTTTTGTATGATGATGATGATGATGATGTGAGAAATCATTGGACAGTAGGGGGCGGTATGACTCTTCCCCCCACATGGTGAGGCGCTAGCTGCCATAGTCCTGCTCACTGAGGCAATTATGGCGGATGGGTTTGGCAAGCAGGGTGCAGATTGGCAGGCAAATGATGTCGGTAGGATGTCCCATTATACTCCTTCCCCCCTCCACACACACACACACACACACATACACACACACACAGACACACACACACACACACAGAGTGCTGTGTCTTTTTCAAGGGAAATACGAAATACTGGTCTGTACATGTGTGAAGATGCTCAGTAAAATCATGGTTTGTGTGTGTGTGTGTGTGTGTGTGTGTGTGTGTGATTATTCAAAGGAGCTCGTCCGCAGCCTTGATAATTGATTCATTATGTAAAAATAAGCCACACACTGCCGTAATGAACACACACAAACATAGACAATCGCTCATCTCCTCAGACGCACACGTTCTGGGTTGTTACCATAGGAACGTGGTGGGAGAGGTTGCCGAGCTGCAGCGCCCGGGCGTCGTTAGGGGGGAGCTCTTGAATACAATGACAACATCCAGGAGGACGGAGGAATTACATTTCCAGCAGAAGAACCCTTCATCAAAGACAAGCAGAGGAGAGAGCGCTGCCTCTCAACACCCAGGCCTCTCTGCTGCCCCTTTGATAGCACATCTTCAACAATTACCCTTTATTTAACTGGGGGCTGGAGTTATTGTGGGGGAACAGAAAGGAGGGTCAACAAGCAGAGAGCATGAATTATTTTTCCTGAAATGGTCCCAACACTGGTCCTCCATTAATCTCTTTTCTTTCAGTCTCCTCATTATGCACAAAGTATAATTAGATAATTGCGTTTTGAATATATTAAGCATGTATGACTTTCATGATGGAGGTCGCAAACAGCAGCAGGCCAGAAAAGAAGCCTGAGTGTCTTTCTCAAGGACATTTTCATGAGGGATGGGCTCTGCTGGGGATCGAACCTGCGATGGGACCGTGGATGGATTACTGAACGGCCTACTGGCAAAGGCCCAGGGGCCCGAAGGGACAGACGGTTACTGGACCAAAGCCTCTGTGTGAAGTGACTTAACAGTTCTTGGTAGAAAGTCAATTAAATGACTGGAAGGAGACGTAAAAATGACCACAAAGAGACTTAAAATGACCAAAAAGAGAATTAAAATGACTAAAAAGAGATGCAAAATGACCACAAGGAGATATAAAATGACCACAAAGAGACACAAAGCGACTACAGAGATGTAAAATCACCATGAAGATAAGCAAAAGGACGACAAAATGATGCAAAATGACAAAAAAGAGACACACAGTGACCACCACATAGACAAAAAATGATTGTTAAGAGAAGCAAAACCACCACAAAGAGACACAAAACAGTTGCTGCATCATTTGTAGTTGTTTCTGTGTGTGTGTGTGTGTGTGTGTATGTCCATGTGTCTCATGGACTGGATGCTACCTATATCACAAGACCACCTATGATTCTTTTGAGATTGCATGCCTGTGTGTTCGTGCTGAGGGATACACACATCAGAGGTCAGAGGTCGGGCAGACAGGCAACAAGCCTCGGCGTCTTTTCCACAGTGAGGAATGAGGCTGCTGGTGATGGATAGCCTTCTCCGGGCGACGTGTGCGTGTGCGTCGCGCTCACAAATTGCCTCTTAATGATTCTCTTTACAGATCATCACCCCGCCCGGGAGAGGGACAGTGGGGAGGGATATGAGTTGTGCTCCCCCGCCGCTCCGCCTAAATGTTGTGCGGGTATTAGGGAGTTTTTGATGGAGGAGCCTTGTAAGAGAAATTGGGGGCAACAGACCAAGAAAATGTTTGTGTGTGTTAGCTGTGCAAAACGAATGAACGGTGTTTAATTGGACTCACACCGTATGACCCATAATGTAAACACGCCGAGTCAGTGTGTAACGTGTGTGTCTGCAGGTTTGTGAAGCTAATCATATATAAACTAAACAGAAAGAACTATCTTCCAGTGTCTTTATGTTAATTAAATGCTTTGACATTTTATGAAATACGTGTTTTTGATGCGAGATGAGATGAGAATATTCATTCTGCTCTCTCGCTGGTGTATTAACTATGAAGCTAGAGGCAGGGGTCGATTAACTTAACCTTGAAAGTGCAATTGTCTCTGCCAGATTGAAATCAAGGGACACGCTCCCCGTCTCTCCATCAGTTCCCCCCATGGCAAGTCTCCCGCCTTCGCCAGTCACCTGAAGCTGCTCCTCCCTGAACACCTGCCCCTCGTTGCCCCATTAGCCACAAAGTATCTACATATATATATATATATATCTGCCTGGTTACTCGTCAGATCAACAAATACAAGCTGTAACTCATTATTTTCTAAGTTTCAGTCATTGTCCCAGTTCCACCATTATTCATGTTTATTACAACCAGTCTGACCAGACTTTGTCACAGTAACGTCGTCGTGTTCTCGGAGCTTTGGCACTTATTTCGGTGAGAACAATGTCGTCACGAGCAACAGAAACTGCTGCATTCTGCCGCCGCGCATCATCTGCTCCTTTTATCGCTCCTGTGCAACCTCGCTCATGAGACGATGTAGGAAGCGTCGTTATAATTATCCGTCTCTCCTCTGACCATTTCAAAAAGCTTCACAGTTAGCGGGGTGTGAAGAAGAAACGCGATTGCCTGTTAAACCTCGACACCGCAGGCCACAGCGCTCAACACACGGACGCCACATGTGGGCCCCCCCTGATTTTAGGACTATTATTTTGCACTTTGACATTTAAAGACGGAGCTGTCAAGGCTGAAACTAGCAGGATGTAATCTTTGGCAAGTTATTATGATGAGTGAGAGCAGTGGTTCCCTGTGGATGCAAAGAAACACCCCCTGGTAGGACTTTCTACTGGGTGAATTACACAGAATCAACTTTCGAAATTTGTCCTATTCTGAGCTGTCTGACATTTACATTTACCTGGTTTTCATAGTTGACTGTTGAACTTTTTGTAAGTTCATTCTCAATGCATTTGCTGCTTCTGAGTCAGGCAGGATATTTGCATCATTCCAGTTGGTTGAGCCACATTTACATGTGGGTCTAAAGGCCCAGCGTTGAAAACTATTTAACCAAATCAGTCCAAAGACAATGCGATCAATGGCTTTGCTTGAATCTTTGAGGTAAATTTGCACATATTTTTAGCAGCAAGTTCAACTTTAGTGAATCTGACACACATATTTTCACAGCAAGCAAACATAGAGTCAGGGAGACCAAACTGGAGGAAGCTCATTAGCTGCTTCGCACCTTTCCTAGACTTGCTTACAGTAGCTATTTCAGCTTGTAGAAGCTTTAACATAATGGTGTTTAAACACAGATATGTCCTCTTGTCTACCTGCTGACAGAAAGAAGGCAGAGGGTGGAGGGACACCACCACCACCTGCCAGAGGCAGAGGAGCTGGCCCTGAGCCGTAACACCAGGCGACCAGTGGCTGAAGGCGTCCCTGGAGGAAGTTCATCCACGCCGGCCACCCCCGAGGACTCGAGTAGAAGACGTAAGTGTGTGTGTGTGTGCATGTGTGTACTGTATAGTCACTGATGGTGTTATCTGCCTTGTCGAGCCTCCTTCCACCGCACAACTCCGCACAGCTGAAAGCTCTCAATCCTCCAGAGATTTTGCCAAATATAGCCGTTTAAAGCCGAACGCTCCTCTTCATCACGGGATGATGATGAAGACACATTGTCTGCTGCCACAGAGAGGTACGCAGCACAGATTCACACAGTGAGACGTTCAGGTTCCTTCTGCACGTAGAGCTGTATGTGAGCATGAGTCTTTTGGGCGTTACTGAGATATCGTGTCCACAAGAATGAGACAACCAGGAAACAATATGCTCCAGCTGTCGTCAGCGCGGAGGCATAATAAAACCGTAATGCAGAAAACAAAGTTACACAGTCGTGGATTTGCTCCAGACTTGATGGACAAACTGCTTCATCATCTGCTGTAATTGCTGCAGCTGGTCCGAAATATCATATGATTGTTTATGCCGCCCTGGGGGAGAGCTTCTCGATTTCTGCCCTCATCTCTCCAGCTCCATTAACTGACAAAAGATACCAGCAGCCCGAGAGAGACACACGTTTCTCAGGTGGCATCAGATGATTCGTGGGCCTCTCGGAGCACCCAGGCACTCGGCCTTATTTTAAACTGTATGTGGATGTTGTCTGGGGCGGTGGAAATACTCCAGAATTATGTCAGATAATTCAGACTTGTGTGAAAGCTCCTGCACAGTTTAATGGACTGGACATTTTCAGAATTGAAGCCAGCACCTAGAAATGGCATCAGTGGCACCATCTCGTCCTCTCTACACACACTGCACTGACCATAATAGGACCCGGGGGTTGGTAATAAAATTATGACATCGTGAAGGTTCAGCTCATGTAATCAG